AGTTGTTCTGTCTTCTACCCCCCCCCCCCCCTGTTTTCGTTTTCGGGCCCGTTCAGCGACGGAATATGCCCTTTGATGAATCGCAGTAATAAACATCTGAGGTAAAATTTCTAGCAATTGTCTTCGCTATCTTAAATTGCTGGTGTTTTATCTCTATTTATATAAATAAAACATATAAATAAATTCGTACATATATATTTAGATATTTTTAGAATTCATACTGCTTTCAGTGCTGAACGACGCAAGGAGCGTGTACGAACATCGCAAATTTGGACTAACGGATCGTGCAGGAATCGAGCAGGGCACACGAATTCGAATGGAAACAACAAGCATGGTAGGTAAAACAGTCTTAAAGGAATCCTGCGCGGAAAAATCATGATCCTATCTCTCCATGAAACACTTGACTTGAGTCCCATAGGTCACGATGAGGAAGAAAAGAACGAGAAATAAGTGTTTGTTTTGTAGAAAAATTCAAAAAACCGAACACCTATTAGTCGTTCAAATTCCCGCCAAGCTGACGTCACGAGCGTTTCGTTTGCGGAGGGTACCTCGTTTCTCGGAGTGTCGTCAATAAAAAACAATAAGCAACATAAATTTTTGCAGTATTGAGGAGCAAAAAAGACTTTCTAGGATATTGATTTTCCATGGTAAGCGGCCTCAAAACTTTTTGAACTCAGAAAAGCGACACTAAGATATCCGGTACCTAATACATCTGATTACAAGTTTCCAGCGAATTTGGTGATCCGAGGTGTTCCGGCGCCTTTTGACGCGAGCGTCAGGCTCCCTAGCGGTAAACGAATGTGATTTTCATATTCCACGGGTCGAATTACCCCTGAAGGCAAGTTTCTAGACAAATCTACAATCAAAGACAAATTTCGATAGAAACCCGGCTGAGTTCTCGAGTAGTGGGGCAGCAGAGGGTAAATAATGCCAAGGAATCTCTCGTAGAAAATTCTCGCATTCTTTCTGACATCAATGTGCCAGTTGTGATCAATGGAAACATCCCACAAAGTTTCATCCATGAAGATTCGATCTTCGAAGAGAAACGAACGTACAATAACTACACTCTATGGACCATCGAAGAAATTCGGGGCCGAGCCAGGCGAGGCATGGAAGGAAGACGGGCCATTGGTTGACTAGAAACAGGCGACTCAATAAAAAAAATCGGGTTAAAATGCACGATTTCAAAATCACGCGCAATTGTGCTTTGGGACGCAATTGCACTCGCGGCAGTTTACACGTCGTATACTGAATTCGTGTTGAATTTTGAATTGTTCCATGAGTTATGTTGTTCCGCCCGATGGTCCTTCGATGGTCCATGGAATGTGATTTTGGTAATTTCTCTTCGGAAACTAAATGTTCGTGCGCCTAACTTCGTATGTTGGCTCCAGTGACCACAACTGACACATACATGTTGGGAATCGGAGCAAGAAATTCCTGCGCAGGATTCCTTTAAACAAAGAACTAGTAATAGCATACATTATCGTAAGAAGAGGTTGTTCTGGAGCATAACAATATCGTATAGCATACATTATACGAAGTTGTATTTTTTATAGTAAGCGACGACGTAAGCAAACCAGCCCTTTTGGCACATCGGCTGGGACCGTATGCTGAATGTTGGGGAGGGGATGGGGTCCCCAACGGTCGACGGTTTACTTCAACTCGGTTGGTACGATAGGAGAGTACTGACGCAAGTGGTGCAGCTGGTCCAGTAGCTTCGCCAGAAGGACCGGTCTGCTCACCCTTGGACTAAGCCTAGGAGAGGGGACGGACCCGTCCTCTCTTTAAGGCTTAGTTCTAAGGTAAGCGCCAAATTGTGGCGGTTCTAAGGACCGCGTTGAAGTTGTCCGTCCACCGTCGGGGACACCATCCCCTCCCCAACATTCAGCATACGGTCCCAGCCGATGTGCCAAAAGGGCTGGTTTGCTTACGTCGAGCGGACTTCTTGATTGCTGTAAACTGTCGGAGGGGGGGGGGGAGAAAATTCATGATTGGGATGGGACTGAACGTCGCTTTTGTTTTTGTTTATGGTTAGACTTTTACTGGTAAGCAAACTGGGGTGATTCTTGCAAAAAATGAAAGTTGGGGCGATAAGAAGACTGGAAATGAAGAAAAAGGAAAACGAGAACGCTCTAATCAAAGGCTCAATTCAGTTGTGAGCTTCGACTTTGTTGAGGGAAAGGAGATACTGCGCGCGCGAATGTACGAAAAAGCGAAGCGGTCGAAGCGGTTTTGACAGGGCCCTATGCTTGCGGTTTCAAGCAGTGTCAACTGTCCGTTCGCGCTATTCGAACGAGGGAGTCGCATCTGCGATTTCGGGAAGGAGGTCGCATTTTGGTGTTGGGCGAGGTGGATGATCCTTGGGAATGTGCGAACGGAAATGGGCGAAGAGTTGGTTAAGAGGGGTTGATATTCAAACGGATTTCCTGATGACTTCAAATTGTTTTGTGGAAGGAGCGTGAATTAGACGGAAATGGAGGAGTTGCCGCTTTATCATAACAACTTGCCCCCGATCGAAGGCAGTTTTAGAGGAGAAAGTGGTCGAAGTTTGGGCGTGTCGATTGGTCTCAGAATCAAATGCTAGAATACTATAGAAATAGCCAAGATCATGAGGGTGGTGGTCGGGGTAGAGTGGAGGGATCATATGGGGGAGCATCGTTAACCTTGTGATGGTGGTTGGGGGGGGGGGTCGCAAAAATTTGAAAAAATACGAACGCGACGGCTTACCTTGCGTTCAAGCTGAGAGTTATGTTCAAAAATTGTCTTGACCACTTCATGTAGAACACCTCGACGTATCTTTGACGTACAAAAACGAGCGCTGTATCCTTACATCTGCCCTGGATGGCAGACATATTTTATTGAACCGAAAAAAACGGTTATCAACGGACGGTCTACAACATCCTCAGACATGAGACACCTTATCTCATATGAGAAGTTTGTTTGCAGGAGGGCTTCTTTCAGATTTTACACCATCATTTTCAAAGAGTAAGAATTTTGAATCGTCGCTTAGCAACATTTTTCAGTCTACACTGATTCCAAGCGTGCATACGTGCAAAATCCAGTCTAGCATTTCTGTTTTCGAAGAATTTTTGTTCGGATATCTCCCAGAATATCCAACCGACAGCTCTCAGCTGACGTTCAACATCGTTTCAAGTGATATGAAAAGCAAAAACTCATTTCTTAGTTGGATATCGGGAATAAGATGAGCAGGCAAATTTCCAAGCTTCCAAAGGGGCTCAAATTTTCTCATGCGATTGTTGCTCGGAAACGAGACCCTTCTTTCGATTTTTCGCCCTTCTACGTATTAGGTGTTGTCGGCTCTGTTAGAAAATAATATATCTTGGTAGCAGCGAATCTACGGAGATCACTTTCTCAGCAACAACTTCCGTTTGTATTCTTGAATACTGAATGGCTGTGACTGACTACCTGACTAACTACCTTCAGCGATGCTTTTCGTTTGAGATCCTTGAAGAAATCAGAATGTTCTGAAAACAAAAACGTTTGAAGCTTGAGAGGATATTTTGTGATGAAACTATCAATCCTACTCATCCAAATTTCACTTTCGGACAAGAAATCGCTCACAATTTCTAAGCGATTTCATGTCCTGTAAAAAATCTTTGGGTATCGGGAAGGAGGCCAGTCGCTCGGCGAAAGGCAGAGAGAGCAGGCGGGTAGCTGGACGAGTCGCAGCGTGTACTGCAGTGATTTCTTGTCAATTTGAATAGAATCTGTTGTAGTACGCTCTACGCACACAGCACGCGCTGCGACTCGTTCGCTGCATTTCGCTTCTGCATTTTCGTAACGCGCGTGAGCCTACCGTCGGGTAACTAAGAATTGGCAGTTCTTTTTAGGTCGAGAAGGGTGGGCTAAGCCAAATCAAAATGAGAAACTTTCAAATACTCTGACATCTACTAGACAGATATCTGTGATAGTGCACTTTTAATGGGGCGGAAGTGGTGTAGTAGCTAGTAACGCTACTGACCACGCACCTAATGGAGATCAAATCCTGTGTGGTACGTCGTCCAGGCCAATCAAACCTCGCACTCCCCCGGGAGCAGACTTTACAAGGACCTGTCTTGGAGGATGAAAACATTGAATTGCACATTGGCTGGCATTTGAAGGTCATTCTAGAGGTCAAATCGTTCAATATGTTCTTATCGTGTATTCCTTCTTCGAATAAAAATAGATGGCGCATCCAACAGCTGAATTGATCAACGTCGTTCATTGTCCTTTTACCCTTTATATTGATGTCGCTTATTATTGCTTAGTGACTATCGGACATTTGATGAAGCTATACGTCGACGTCGACACGTAGGCATGTATTACAGATGTACATCAGAAACTGAACGATATCAAAAACAATTTCTATATTATTTAAACAAAACTACCTCAGGAATAAGCTCTATTTTATTTTTTACGTGCAGTTTTTCATACA